ACTGGTACCTCCAGTTGAACGCGGAGGAACAGGAAAGAAGTTACAAAAGCAAACTGTCACCAGAGGAGCGCCGAAGAATTGACCGGAGAACCCCAAGGATTGCAATCAGGAGGTACTCGGCTTCCTCTTTCCTGTACATGTTCCACTCAGGGGATGATCAACAAGCATTGCTCAATTGCTGTGGCATGGGTCACAAGGTCTTCAGGGAGCTTGTTGACCTGTTTGCTCCAGTATGGAACAAGTACACTGTCAACAACAACAATGAGATCGTGGAGGTTCCTCGTTACCCCAGTGGGAAGCCCAAGGGGAAGAAAAGGGAGGTTGATGCAGTCTGTGCCATTGGATTAGTGCTGTATTGGTACMGGACAMGMGGATCYGTTGCAAGGTCGATGGCAATGGCCTTTGGCTTAACATCCACAGTGATGTATAAGTGGCTCAAGTTTTCAAGGAGAGTGATGCTCTTTGTCCTTAACAARCACCCACAGGCCATGGTCAGTGTCCCAACTGAGCAAGAAGTGGATGATTATGTTAAGGCTATTGGGCAAAAGTATCCAAGGCTAGGAGAACAATGTGTTTGGGGTGCTGCTGATGGGCTGAAGAGCGTCATCGAACAGTCACAGGACTGGTATAAACAGAAAGCCTTCTACAACGCTTGGAAGGAGAACACCTTTGTTAACAGTGTATTTGCCTTTGCCCCAGATGGAAGGATCAGAATAGCAGTGTATAACTGCCCCGGGGCTTGGCATGATAGTGCCATTGCGGACTTCAGAGTGTATCAACGCATTCAGGACATTAACAAAACTTCTGGAGGGAAGAAGGTCGTTGTAGACTCAGCCTTTGCCTTGAAACAATACCAGGATTGCCTCATCAAGAGCTCACAGAGGGATCCTAGCAACAGCCAGCTCCTCTTGTTGAATAGGGATGCCACATCCTTGAGACAGATGTCGGAATGGGGAATGAGAATGATCCAGGGACAGTTCCCAAGGATTAAAGAACCAATGTTCTTGGAAGAGCTTGGAGAAAGGAGGATCATCATGAACGTCCTCATCAACTTGTACAATTACCAGTGTAGTTACATAGGACACAACCAAATCCTATCGACCTTCATGAAGACTCCAGCAGCCACGACAGCTGATGATCGATACCAGAAGATTGCTCTTGCTGAGGGCTTCTTCTGCGTTGGTCGGAACATATCTCCTGATAACAGCGGGGCGTTTTCCGGATCCGGATGAATCCCATGGTCAATGAGGTGCTATGTTGAGTGGAAGAAGTAATGAAAAGAACACTGTTGAGTTCCAGTTGACAAAAGAACACTCGCACTGTCGAGTAGTAATCATTACGAATCCTACACTCTTGTTCCCCTTACTGCAACGCGTTCCCTTCCCGTTCCCATCGTCCAATCTACAGTTCAGTTACAATCTACAGTTTAGTTAGTCTCCTTAAGGTCAGTTTAATCTTCTTACAATAAAGCATTCATTCTGTTAGTACTAGTACAGTAATGTGAATAGTTTCAGCTGCGGCAACTGCAGCTGTAATTGCTGTTTTCCTGTATCAGTTGCTGTTTTCCTGCAATTACAACTGTACTACATTGTACGGAAAGGCAGTAGAAACTAGGTTTTCATGTAACAAAAACGGGATTAGAAGCCTTCATCACACGTGTGCAATCCCACAAAAGTACCCAACGGCTGTCATTGATCGGCATTCACATGCATTGACCAGTCTTAGACCAGTAATCAATAATTTTCATTACAGAATAGTGTATATAATGTAATCCCATATCGTGTTACAGCACTATACACAAAAACCACAAATCCGTAGGAACTGGTGGGGCAAGTACCGCCATCTACAGCATCCCATGGGACAAGGAACTATCGTTGCATACTGTTGAAGCAAGCTTTACAGCTCATTTAATGTAATCTTAGTAGTAATGTAATATAGTAGTTTAATCTGTGGTTAAAGTATTCCTGTTTCCTGATCCTGACGATGGGGTTCACCATGGGATTTATCGCGTTGTCGTTTGCGCGGGGGAGGCTTGGGCGTGGCATACGTATCGTCAGCTGTCGATGAACCACCACCAGTCGACACAGGAGCAGTTGGTGGTGGACGAGGACCATGTTGGTGATGGTAAGGAGGAGGACCATGGTAGTAAGAGTAACTTTTGTTGTTGTTGTTGTTGCTGCTGCTGCCATGTATTCATCATKGTAACAGCTGCTCCAAGGAATTTTTCTGCTACATCCTTCACACTACTCCACATCTCAATGCTGCGTTGGTCTCTTCTTTCYTCTCTTTTGTCGTGACTCACAATGAATTGAGTGAAGGCTGCAGCATCAGGGACGCTTGATTTCTTCTGCTGGTAGGCTCGCTTTTGGGGAATAGCAGGGTTTCTTATGACAACTGAAGGCGTCAAGACAGAAGATGCAGCTACACCAGCAACAGGCGTCTCCTCTCTGGCAACAGTGGGAGCCTTCTTGGGGTTCTCCGTAGCGTTCTTATTGGGCTTGTTCTCCGTAGCGTCCTCTTCGTCACCTTCCTCTCCAGCAATAACAATTGTGGGTTCTCCCACCACTTCAGCAAGAATATCATCAGTGTTGGTCTCTAAACCATCAACATCCTCACTTTTAACATAGCCTTCAATCAGATCAAAGTCCTCCTCTCCAGTACCAAGATTTGCCCGACGACCAATCAAGATATGGGCCTGAAATGCCTTCAATACATACTCTGGCATGTTTGGGTTCCCTGTGGAACTCTTGATCCTCTTTATTGCTGCATACTTGTTCTTGATTGACGATCTGGTCCTATAGAAGGGCCATGCCTTTGCGTGGTCGGCTACTATGGTATCCCACTCATCATTACTAATGGGAACCCTGTCAAGTATCATTCCAATGAGACTGTCCAGCTCGTCGTGAGTGTAGTTTGCTACTCCTGCCTTCCGGCCCCCACCGCTACTAGTGCCTGCCATCTTGGATACAAATATAGTGCGGGGAATTGGTGGTTGTGTTCCCTCCTCCTCTTTGTTCTTGATGTCCTTGTCAATGGCGCCGGCCTCCTCCTCTTCCTCTCTTTGATGCAACAAAGACAGAAAATACAATGTACTGACTAAGAGCACGGACCGGGACATTATTCTTTATGTCCTTTCTCAAATACTTAATAAAGGCGCCATGGTGCCAGTGTTGTTSTTGTCCATAGCCATGGCACATGCCTGCCTCTTGTTTGTTTAGAAGAAAAAAATCTCAATTTTGTCGAGTTCTGTCTTAAGATTCTGGCGGGCTTTCTGTTGAGTCTTTCAGTGTTTTTCAACGGACTCAAAATTTTGGATCGTGAGTTCCATCATAAATTTTATTACATTTGAAACGACTGAAATGAGCTGTTCAAATGTAATAAATTTTTGTAATAAATGTGCTACTTTTGATAGACAGACAGACGGAAAAGTAGCACATCTATAATAACGGGAATCACCCAATATTAATGTTTGTCAAATAAGAACTATCTGGTACTGAATGTACACAATCATATATAGCCCCAACAACTAGGACAATCTTTCAGGTCCACCAGTAAAATAGGCTCACAATGATACACTTAGTGGACCGGAGGAAGTACTCCCAAACACAGTTCTTCTTGTGTTTTTTTCTGGGCCCTCCATTAGTAGTTTTTGAGGAAGACAGTCTCCAACCAAGATCAGGGTTTCTCATAGATTTTTTCATGGTTTAAACAAAGAGAAGCAAATAAAGTATTGCCCAGACATAATTTTCTTTGTTTCTCTTTTTAAAAAATGACAAATCAAAGAGAAACAACAATGAAAAACAACAAGGAGAGTCAATATGCTCTTTGTTTCTATTTCTTCAAACATAGAGAGGAAACAAAGATAATATTGCATGCTCAGGCTATATTCTCTTTGTTTCTTCTTTTATGAATGGAAACTGCCCCCATCCTTCCACCATGCAAAAACAAAGAGAATAGTGCCTGGATTATGATACTATTCATTCTTCTTCTTACTACTACTACTACTACTAGTACGTCACATACTAGTACTAGTAGTAGTACTAAGAAACAAAGAGAAACAATGCGAACATTGCCCAGGAAATATTCTCTGTGTTTCTCCTTATTTAAACAATGGGAAACAAAGAAAAACAAGGAGAGGSAACATTCTCTGAGTTTCTCTTTGTTTCAACAATGAGAAACAATGGGAATATTGCCCTTATAACAAGGATAAAAATTCTCTTTGTTTCTCCTTGTTTSGCGGGGTGTACGGGAAACTATTTTATTTAAAAAAGTTCTAATGGAGGGCTCTGTGGTACCGTTACATGGCCACTTACTTCACGGTATGAGCATCGTACCGGTACGTGCGCCGATTACCAATTAATTCTACTTGCTTGTACCGTACGGCATAATTGGCGTTATTGCCCAATTTTCAAATCGAACCTGACAACGTCATTCACAGCGCCGGCCCAACCTTTTCCAACCGCACGTCATTTTGAGTCTTTTTCTAATAGAAGTAGTACCCTTCAAGGTACCGTAATACCGGTACCGTAACGTACCGTACTAGAGTTTACAGGATACGGGAGCCTAATGGTACTCGTACGTACCTGTGATCACGCTGCCTGTGATAGGAATTAAAGAAGAAATTCTTCATTTTTTCCGTACTCGTACGAGTACTCGTACCCTCTGTTACCTTCAACATCCGTCGTACGTCCAATTCATGACACGCTGAATGCGTAGCACAAACGCAACCTCATTGTTTTTTCCTTTCGAAAAGGCCGCCTTCCTTTCTCACTAAATAGTACAGTAATTTTTACGTCACTGGATTACTGTACCGTATTTTCTACTTCTGTAGTACCGGTATTATTTCAGTCCGTGCCGCATGTGTGCGACACAAATACAAGCAGTAATTTAACCGATACTGGTCGACCCGATRTCATATTTCTCTTACTCGGCTCGCTTGTTTTAGAACAATCATATTGAATCTTCACCGCGCTCAACCTTCAACGATCACGAAGAGAGACCGACTCGATTCGACTGGACTCGATTCTGTCATAGTTCGAAAAAAAGAGCTGTCGATTGATCGATTGGAGGAAGAGACGTTGCGAAAGTCTTATACATGCACCAAGGAGTGAAACGCAWGTGTGGATTAGCACACTAGTGAATTCGAGAAACAATGAAATCGTACCGCATATCAACACTCGTGAAGYTGGCCTTATTGGCGGCTAGCAATAAGCACATTGCACTACACCTGGTGTCTTCGTACACCTTCGATCCCCTGAACAACAGCTGGAAACCAAGTGGCCGAAGAAAAAAGCAGAACAGGGGCTCGTCTTTTTCTCAGAATTCGTATGCTCCACCAGAGCCTAGGCGTGAGCAGCCTAATCCAGTGCCTAGGCCTATACCAGGTGTCGATATCACCTGGGACGAACGAGATATTGTTCGGCATCATTACACAACCTTTGTTGTCGGTGATCAAGAGGAACAACAAATMAATGATCCTGCGTTCGTACCAAAGGCTTCCTTGGTAGAGATCCAGTACAACAAGAAGACCGGCGAAGTATCTCTTCTGGACGAAGAGGGTGTTGTGACACCCGAAGAATACAAACGGATCGTGAATGATGTAAAGTATTCGCACGAAGGGGAAAGCGAATCTTCAACTGGCAACACTTCATCCAAGCCAAATTTCAAGCATCAAGGGGGAGAAGATGACGCAGTTGTCGGCACGACCGTATACCTCGATCCAGAGGACTTAGATCCGACCGATGTTATCGATACGGAGGTTGAAGACGTCGATGGCCGTCCTTCCACTTCCGCGAAACAGGAGATTCATATTCCCCATTACGAGCAAAAGCTAAAAGACTATCCACAACCACAGCTCCRAGACCAATCCCAACCGTCAACGGACTACACCGAATCTATACTGGCCGAAACAACTTTTGATTCGTACAGCATCCATCCACCTGCTGCAAAATATGACCATTCCGTTGCATATCAGGCAGCTGCGACAGGATCATATGCCGAAGCACAGCAGCAGCAGCAGCTATTTCAGCAACAACAATACCAGAAGTACCAAAACGTACAGCAACCCGTGCAGACGGCAACAGCGGTAGCAGAGCCAACCGCAGACCATGTCTACTATCAACAACAACAACAACAACAACAGCAGCAGTATGAAACTGGAAATTACGACTATCAAGAGTATTACGAACCAACAATGATGACACAAAAACTAACCAATGACCAAAGCGTTGAAGACATCTATTTTGACGATGGGACTTATCGAAGAAGCCGGGGATTTGGCTTTGCCAGTCGAAGAGAATCTTTCACTGATAGTGAATTGGAGTACTAGAGTGTTCGATTTGTGAATACTGCATTATTGGATCTTCTCTCGCTCGCACTCTCTCGTATTTTGCCTATTGGAAAAAGATTTGAATATGAATGAAGCAAAGAAATGAGTAATAATCTTACTGCAATGATGGAGGGCGTACATTACATCCTTTCAGAAAAATCACTCCCTTTCAGATATCTGATCTTAGTTTCTCTTTCTTGTCTAGTGTGCACGCGTTCACGCTAAAAGAAAACACATGATACCATAAATCCCTCTAACTGAATTAGAAAACATTTGAATTCTACAACAAGTTGCCGACTGTTTTTTTGAAAATGGAATGTTCTTGTACCAGTGATAGGCTACCCCTGCTTGACATTGGCTGTCACTGATGCAGAGCCAAGTGCAATCTCCCACAGCATTGTATGTTATGCAATTGGTTGAATGGCGACATTAGATCAAAACAAACTCGACTGTATCCTATATTATTCTTGTATTCGTTGACGATCGTCTTTTCCAATTACAGAAATGGATGGCAGAGGGTGTAAATAGGGAAATTTAGAATTAATTTTTGAATTCATGTATTCATACATTCATGTTTTCAAAAGCGTGGGTCCATACACGCTTTAAAAATAGTAAAGTCTATACAACATGATACCGCGATCGATGTTTTGATACCTTGGGACTTCGTTCAATAATAGTCGTATGGTTCGACGAAACTTTTCGCCGACTTAMGAACTTGTCTGCTGAGTCAATCGTATCATAACTGTCATTGGAACTATATGATGATGCTCGAGACATTTTTTCGTGCTTTTCACTATTTGAACCACTCCCAGATCCACCCATTTCCAGGTCTAGGGTGGAAACTCTTCGATCCCAGTCGCCGCTGGCAAGGGATTGCTTTCGTCTCTTGTTCCTTCTTCGTACGGATTTTGCAGTGAGGGCAGAAATGAATATTATGATTCCGACTACATGTTGATAGGTGCATTCATTGTCAAACAGTAAGAAGGATAGAAAGAGCGTGGTAGCTTTTCGAGACACCGACGTAATGGACATKGATAGAGCACCAAATTGTTTTGTTATGGCTGCCGCGCAGGAACTTCCGAAAAAACCCATCGATGAAAACAAAACTATGACAGTGATTTTTCCGGAAGAACTCCACAATCGTTGGTCCAATGGAACGTTATTTTGTTGCTCCTCGTATGTACCAGGTTCCATTATCCATGCCATACCTTCTATCAAATCACCCTTCGCTGCAGCAGCTGCAACAATTGCAATCAAGGCAATACTGTACATTCGAAAGATGAATTCATCTTGTCCTACGTTGTATTTGTTCATTATACTTTCAGACATGTTCGTAATAGCTCCGTCACACATCAAGGATACAGTCTATGACATCGAAAAAGAAAAAATATGAAGAATTCGGAAAGAGTTTTTCAGGTTTGGGGCACTTCGTCAGCTCAATCAAGAAACAAAAACCTCGAACACGAAAACAGCGTACAAAACAATAACTCACGTACCAGCATGATGACACCTGCAGGTTGAAATACAGCAGAAGAAGTTGCATCCGCATGCATAAAAATTGCCAACCCAACAACCATGCACAAAACAATTGTGTAGTCCGTGATACTGTACCGTTTATTGGTGATRCAGACACCAAATATCATGGTGAAAACTACACGGGATGACTTCATGAGAGTCTTCGCTGGATAATTGATATATTGCATCGCTAAGTTAGTCATAGCCAAGTCAACAGCGCGTAGCAGAGACAATCCAAGATAGAGCTTAAACGGCACGGTCAGTTGACACGAGGCTACCGAATTTCTAGCCCTTGTCGCTTTTCCTTTATTTTGTTTTCGATATACGTAGCTCCGTAGTATGTAGGCAAGGACAGTGTATCCCGTAAATTGCACCATCGCTAGGTAAAGACCAAGCTGCCGGCTGCAAAGCTGGACTGATAAAAGTTCTTGTAAATACCCATACAACAAACTGAAGAAAAATACCCCCGATGCACAAATAACAAATTGTCCCGTCCGCGATAGGTGAGATATGTCCACACCCAAGACTAGGACAGGATCGGAGATGAGATCTTCGTAGAATTCGATATCAGAAGTTGTAGTAATCAGCGATTCTCCACCAGTCGAATCGGGTGCTTTCGTTATAAGCGGAACAGCAATTCCTCCCGCAGCGTAGTCCGCATCGTTGGAAGACATCGAATTTCTGTTTCTTTCGTGTTTCCGCCTCATGGCGATTTATTTCGTTTGATCTTATTGATGAATACCTTTCAGCTAGCTGTTTGCCTTTGATTGAAAATAAGAGTGATGTCGCTGTTCCCAAATATTTGTTTCGAAGTCTTTTTCTTTCGACTTTTGAGCGCATTWAAGTCCGAATGAAAACACGGTAATTTTGATAGAAAGCGGTTACTTTTGTCTCAGCTCTCAATCATTTTTTGTAGCGTACCGKTACAAGTACCGGTACATAGTGTCGTCATAACCGCTATGAACAAAAAATCAAAAATAAACCAAAAATTAGAAGTACGAGTACGAGTGCTTAAGTACTAGTAGTACGTAGTAAAGTTAAACGAAGTACGTACCATACTGTAAAAT